CCCTCACTACAAGAAGGACGTTGAGGTGCTGGAGCGTGTCCAGAGAAGGGCAACGAGGCTGGTGAGGAGTCTAGTTCCCAGTTATCTGGTTATAGTAGTCTGGTGCTTGCTCTGGGCACATAGAGAAGTTCCCTTTGTTTTGAAAAAGGTTTTATGTTTCTGATTGTATTTACACTGTGGTTTGGATACCTTTGTGCTAGGCTAAAATTGTTGGGGATTGTGTAGGTTGTCAGGGATTGTTTTTTTTTTTTTGGTCTACTTAAAACTGTTTTCAATTGTATCCTGTAAAGGTTTCTTTTGACTCAACGAAACACCTCAGTGATGCATCAATTAAGAAGCGTCAGCTTGAAAGGCAAAAGCTTCAAGAGCTTGAAAAACAGAGAGAAGAACAAAAACGTAAAGAGAAAGAAGCTGAGGAAAAACAAAAAGAGGAAGAAAGGTATTTATCGCTTATTGCTCAGTTATATTTTTAACAGTCAGGCATAACAAAACTGTAGTTGCTCCATCATATCAGCGTCAATGCATAGAAAATAACTAAACACAAGTTTCCTTTCAAAGTTCTACTCCTGTAGCTAAAGTGAAGCACTTAAAACTGAGCGAGAATACTGTGGTCCTTTTGAGGAAATAGGGTTCAGGGAGTATGAGATTTGGAGAAGAGTGTTTTACACTTTTTTTCTTTTTTTGAACTTTAATTCCAAGAGCTGGGAACTTACATGATGTGTCGTCATTCTGATGGAAACACGTGCATTGTAAATGGAGAATAGAAAATAATGCACTAGTTCTACTGCTAAGTAACTTTGATATTATAAAGCTCATTTGTTCTTAACATCAGTATTTTTCCAGGAAAGGTATGGAATACGAGTGTATCTTAACAGTGACATTTTAAGAAAATGTATAGGGGTGCAAATGTCATAAGACAGCTATTCAGAATATAAACACAAATGGAGGAAATTGTTTCAGGGGTTGTGTGGTGTCCATTTGCCTTGTTGTGTATAAATTCTCATTGCTTAATGTTTAGATATTAAACAGTTTCTGAAACTGTAAGTTTTAGATTATCACTAATGTTTATGTTCAGTTCAAAATATTAAATCTGCAAAATACTCAATTTCCTAAAAATCGTGCCATTAGACACCTGATCTCGGAAACCCTCGGCCTTTTACATAAGCTACGATTTTGTCCTAATGACTGAAATAATACCCACCAACCCCTGCACACATTAATTGGCTTGGTAATTTTCTTCTCACTGTGATGATTCACTGCCCAGCTGCCTGATGCATTGTTATTGTCTCTGGTCAAATTGGTTTAAAAAGAAAAAAATTTTGTTGTAGCCATGTTTTATGTTTGGATTCCAACTTGTGTTTAAATATTGACAGGCTGATGATTGTCTGCTGTCACAACTAATGGTTAAAATGTTCACTGTTTTCTACTTCTGTTTTTCAGTAATCAACAGGACTTAGAAACAAATTTACTCAAAGTACAAAATATATTTGTACATAGAGTAGGAGTCTAAAATTTGTACCTGCTATAGATAAGGTAAAAATATTAATCTCTTTTTAGGAAGCAGAGAGAGCTTGAAGAATATGAGAGAGAGAGAAAAAGAGAAGAAAAGTTGCGTAAGAGAGAACAGAAACAGAAAGATCGTGAAGTTCGACGAAACAAAAAGCAACTTGAAAAGCTTCAAGCTGAAGAACAGAAAAAACTGCAAGAGAAGATAAAGTTAGAAGAAAGGAAGCTCCTGTTAGCTCAGAGAAATCTTCAGTCCATTAGACTAATTGCAGAACTGCTAAGCCGGGCAAAGGTAACTTCAATATTTATTTCAGAAGCTAATGAAGAACTCAGCAGAACAAAGCCTTTTACTGACTTGAGAGGGGGTGGGGGAGCGCTGTTCGTTAAACAACAGATTTAGTACCTCTCCAGATGCTATTCCTTAGACCAAAAATTCAAAAAAGTGCAATGAAACAGTATTTCTCCCTTGGTAAAATATGCACATATATGTAAATGGAAGAGTGAACTTGAACCTGTAGTCCTGAATAATATTTTTTACCTGTAAACTAATTGGCAGGCTTGCTCTTAAGTCCAGTGGAATAATGTGTAAGCATGATAAAGTGAACTAAATACAGAGGATAAGATGCAAGACTCCTTCTTTCTAATTTCAGTTTTGATGCTGTTTCCCCATCTGGCTTTCAGCAGTTCCGTTAACTATTCTTTGCAGTTTCAGAGAATGAGCTTTCATTATTTGGTGTTTGAAAATGTGCAGAATTATTTTTCTGTAGGAAAAGTACTGTCAGCTAAGGTTTCGAATGTTAGATCCTGTCTCTCTAACAGTATTGTTATTTTTCACTGTCATTTGCTTAAGACTTGGATAAAGTCACATTAGGGTGTAATGTAATATATGTAAAGTATTTTCTGTAGAAATGAAAAACTGTGTGGCAAAGCACAGGTTTTCTCTTCCGCCTTGATGCCAGTGTAACTCAGGAGTGTTTTTGAACTCATGCAGTGCTATGTGGTCAGTTATATGCTAGGAGAAGGGAGAAATACTTCTTGCAGTCTCTGTAACTTCGCAGCTATGAAATAGAAAGGTTGTCTGATAAAATAGAGCAGTGTGTTTCTTTCACTCCCAGAATTTTGAGGTTTACACTAAGCCATTTGTCTGGGTCAAAATAATAAAAAAAAAAGTTAAGTTTGAACCTTCTTTTTCAGTATCATGAGTTTCTAAAGTGATTGACAAAATGAGAATCAGTTTCTACATAATATGTGTGTGTTTATTGGCTGTTTTTTGTGGACTCATTGTAAAGTCATCTGTGAACCACAGAAATTCATGTTTTAAATTTGACTGAAACCTTCAAGTGTTGACCTTGATAAATGTATTTTAATACTTCAAATTTCACATGTTGTTCTAGCTTGTGTGTTACTCTTGTCATATTAAGGAGCCATAAAGACCAAGCTTTGTTTTTGCCTTGTGAAACAGCTAGGAGAAATTAACACTCAAAAGAGTGTGTGGACTAATACTAATGTTTCACCTTACAACAGTTGTGTGTTAGTGGTGGGGTTTTTTTTGTTTGGTTGGTTTTGGTTTTTTTCTCTTTAAGAGGGAAGCAACCGTTTTATGTTGGGATGGTTAAGTTCTGTTTGTTAGATTTTATTTTCTTGCCATATTGCTGCTTTTGTGTTACGGTATAACTTGGAAGCATAAGCAGGTCTATAAATACTTTTTTGTTTACTCTTACCTTCCCTTTGACTATCTTTCAGACGGTAAAGCTTTTGGAGCAAGAACATAATGAAGAAAAGATTCGTCTTCAGCAGCTAGAGGAGAGGCGAAGGCTCCAGGAGGCTGAGCTCAAACGTGTGGAAGAGGAAAAAGAGAGAGCACTGGGGTTGCAGAGAAAAGAAAAGGAACTGAGGGAGAAACTACTGAACAATCTTCTGAGCAAGAAAATGGATGCACTTAATCAAAACAAAGAAGAAACCGAAGCATCTCAGTCTGACATGCCGAAAATCGCTAGCGGTGTTCCACACACTGTGTCATCCAGCTGCATCACTTCTACCACAGGACAGGCTGTTACAGGCAAACTGGCTCCCGGCTCTCAAAGAGAAGTAGCATCCCCTGAGAGTGTAAACACTCAATGCAAGTACTTGAATGGCAACATTCATGACAAAGTTCATGTCAAAGAAGGTCAGAGACTTCATACCACAAACTCTGAGAGGTGTTCTGAGAAAAGAAGTTCAGGGGTACTTTCATGTGTTCCCACCAATAACCAGCAGCAGAAGAGCCTCTCTAGCTATGACCAGAATACCTGCAGGAAGGACTCACGCTGTGAGCAGAGCAAACGTAGCACAGAGTCAAGGAGAAGAAAGAGCCGTTCATGTAGTAGCATAAACACTGATGAGAGTAAGGGTAAACGAGAGAGGAGCAGACACAGAAGAGATGTGAGTTACCAGGATGAAAAGCGCAGGAAAGAAAGGCGGTATTACAGACGCTCTAGCAGAAGCTACAGTCCTCGACGAAGCCATAGTCCTCGTCGAAGAAGTGTAAGTCCCAGGCGTTCACGTTACAGAAGAACTCGCAGTAGCGAACGTAAACGAGACAGAAGAGAAAGAAGTCATAGTCGCAGAAGCGTGAGCAGGAGACGAAGGCACCGGAGGAGATCACTGAGTAAGCAAAGGAGTACTTGGAGTGGGTAGTGAAGGCCTTGGCTCCTTGGAGAGGCTGTGTTTGGACAAAAGGGCCAGAAACTTGTAAACGAGACCTCATCGGTGTGACTGCTATAGAAAACATGTTTGTTTCAACCAATGCTTAGCTTGCATCTAGTCCCTGAAATCAAGAAAATAGATGCCTGATTTTTTTTGACGTTCCTTCGTGCTTTGTTGTCTCTTTCTAGGTTTCTACCACAATGTAGGTATAACCACCTGTGCTTGTGCTCGAGTTCCTACAGTGCTAAAAGCCAACCTGTTTTCTTGATTTTCCGTTTTCTAAACCTTAATTTTAGTCGATTTAGTTTTTATCTCTATCACCTAATTTGGCTTGAGAAGTACATGGGTGTCAGTTATAGGAACTCCAGACATGACAAGCTATTGCATACAGATTTGACTTGAAATGCTTTCTGGTGCATTCAATGAAATCACATTTAACAAAGTAGAATATTTGCTGATTGAGATGGATAGCAGGACTTTCATATAGTTCTTAAAACTGACTATAAAGATACGCAGGATATCTTTTAAACTGCTATGATTCCTTCATATGTCTGTATGGTGCCAAGCTTTGTGGCCCAAATTATTCTGGCATGTAATGCCGTTTGTATAATAATACTTTCCATGTAAGAGAGGCACACTGATGTAGGAAGTAAGAAGCAGTGGTAAAATGGTTGAAAAGTTCTGTTATTTTGTGACATATTTGGCTTTGCAATTACTTCAGGTGGCATAGAGCCACCTGAAGCATTTTTTCAGGTACACACAGAGCTAGCCATTGTCTTTTGAAAAAGAGGCCTTCTTGCTAAATTATTTTTACTTGTGGTGTTGGAAAGTAAGGCTGCAGTGTCTCTTGTTAAATCCATTTAAGAATACTTTTGCTTCTAAAATGCAGCTCAGGAATATTAAAAGCTATAACATTACAGTGAAAGAGTTTATTTTGCCTTTTTATGGTAAAATTAAAAAGAAAACTGTTTCCAGTGAACTGAAGTTGCTGTTGTCATATGTCAGTGTATTAAAATCTGCAGAAGTGTTGTATGAGAACCCATTTGTTGAAAAAAATCACTCGACGCATTTGAATAATGAAGCTCAGCCACTCTTCTTGATGGTCCTGTTACGTACAGCTATGTCAACTGTTCAGCAGGGTATGTGCTCTTTATCTACAGCCTTCAGATGCCATTTTCCTCACACTGATGCGTGAAATCAAAGTGTATCCCTTTCCTGGAGTGCCTGAGGAGCACGTTGGTGCAGCAGCTCAGCTGGATCCCTGGCTGGCTGAGTTTGTCTGCGTTGCTTTCAGTGAATCCATGCGGGTTTGTTTCTTACTAGACCATGCTGCTGAAATCTTTGTAGTTACTAGCTGTGGAAAGAACAGGTAGACATTCTTTTATCGTCCTGGCAATTCATGTTTTTAAAGATCTCCAATTAATTATGTTACTTCTCAAGTTTTTGTGACTCCTTGGGAGTTTCACCACTGTCTTGGGGGCTGAGAGCTCAACTGATTTATCTAATCATCTCAAAACCACCAGTCTCTTGAATTCTGAGGGTTGCTTTCTGTGAAGAGTTCATTTTTCTACTAACTTTGTTAAAGTGTTAAAAGCCTATCTACCTGAAGATAAGTTCATCTTTAGTAATGATTTGGCTAAAATCCAATCTAATGTTGGTTGCAAGTATTTGATAAGGCTGGTGGGATGCTTGTTGGTAAATGCATGCAATTCTGCCTAGCCTGCTCTTAAATACTGACACACTGTCCATGGTAACACCACTTTTTTAAAAAAAAAGTGTATTCTGTCTGCAGTTATGCGAGAAGTTTGTTTAATGGCTGTCAGTACCAATGTCTTTTGAGCTCAGGATTAGATTCTTACTAGTATTTCTGCAGTATATTTCTACTGTGGATTTCCACTGGGATTGATATGTTGGGTGGGGGTCTTGATGGTGTATTATGTAAGTAATTGGGGAGATGCTAGTTTATAATGCTACTTTCAGGAAGTCATCAAGCTAAGAATGCAGTGTTATTGCCAGGAGCGGAAGCAGTTAAAGCAGTGGCAGTCACCAAAAAGTGTTGGAGTCATACTGGAAGAATCCAACAGATATTGTTAGTTGATACGAAAAAAGACTGTGCTTGATAGGTTTTTTTTTTTCTCCAGAGAAGGCGCCAGGAGCAGGTTTCATATCCCACCCTGAAATGATTAAATTCCATAAGCTTCCCTGATGTTTAGGGCAATTTCTGAGGCCAGAGAAGATAATTGTGGGGAAGATGTTCAGCTGTCAGGCTTTGATAATCATTCGGCTTAGCACACCATATCCAGCACTGGCTTCATACAGTGTCCTAAAAGTGCAGTAATTTAAAGTAACTCTGTTGTTTATAGTGCTTGTATTATTTCTTCTCTTCACAGCAGCTTCAGGAAGAAAAGCCTGAAAGTGCTTTGAAGCTACTTGCAAATGCGTACTTTCCAAAATGCAGAGGGAATGTGGAAGAAGTCCTCTTTCAGTCGGCCAGCTGAACCCAATCAAAACCTCTTAAAACTCCTAGCACCTAAAGTTGCCCAGTAACTGCTCAGTGCAGAGTTTTATCTAGGCTAACACTTAGCAGTATTGTTGCTTCAGGTATGTGTTTTGCATCAAAGCTCTGCAAAATCTTATCAGTGCTGAATCCTCTGAAACGGATATTGCGTCACCTGTCCTTGTATTGGGTCTGGCTGTGATGGAGTTAACTTTCTTCATAGGTGCCAGTTGTGACAAACTGTTGATAACACACCAATGCTTTACCTATTGCAGAGCAGTGCTTGCTCAATGTCAAGGCCTTCTCTGTTTCCCATTTTGTGCACACACCCCTGAATGGGTAGGCTGAGGTTGGGAGGGGACACAGCCGGGACAGCTGACCCCAACTCACCAAAGGGATATTCCAGACAACATGACATCATGCTCAGCAATAAAAACGGTGGCTTTTGTCTTTCCAAGGTAGCCATTGCTCCTAGACTGGCTGGGCATCAGTTTGCTTATGGTCTTCATTGATGATGGGCTTTGAACTGCAAGGAAACTTGAAAAGAGTTGAAACTGTAATCTTTTAATGAGGTCACACATATAAATTATGCCATGCCCAATATAACTTATTCAGGTTTTTAATATGGCTGAGGTATGTGCTTGTACTACTGTAAAAACCTCGCTGATGCAATAACTTAAAGAATATACTTTTTGATGGTAAACAATTGCTCTTTGTTCTATATTGATTGTAAGTCAGTAGATTTCTACGAAGTATCTTGTAAGGGTCTTAGTGTTTCAAATGAAAGAACCTAGGATACCAGCAGGCTTTATAATGGCTTCTAGAAGCCGAAGTATCAAAGTTACTGATAGTTTTCCCTACTCTGGAAGAATGTTGTAATGCTGATTGCTTAAATCTTACCTGATTGCTTGGATTTGCAAGACTGACTTTCAGGAGCTGTTTAAAAGCAGATAAAATTAGTTGGTCTTTTTTATTCCATTTCAGTGTATGCCTGTTGAGTGACCTTGAGTTTATATGAAAAGATAAGTATTTAATGTCTATCCTTTGCTGTTTTAGCTGCTTTAAAGCAATGGCCTTCAAGCTTAGATCAACAAACTTTGGTCTAATTAAGGAGTTTCAATAATCCACACTACTGTTCTTGTTTAATTATTAAATTTACAGTGCCTAAATTACACTGCAGTTACAGGCTGTGGTTTAAATGTTAAGGAAACTGAAGAATATAGGATTTAGCAACTAATACTTACCAAAGACATACCAAAGTAATAAATATTTCTGAAACTTTGAATTTTATGTTGGTATGGTTGAGTATTGGATAGAGTCTGACTTAGCTACTATGCTACCTCTACTTTCAGACCCTTAGCTGCTAGAAATCCAATCCAATGAGAATGTCTGCAAAGATACCTGCCTATTTACTTCTGAAACTGGTCAGTGAGGATTACGTACCAGTAGTAACCTGACTCTCTTTGCCTAGGCTTGTCAGGAGTTGCATGTTATGTCCCATTGCGTCAAAGTTACATATCTTACTCCATTTGTCTGTCAATATTCAGGGTTTGGTTTTGTTTTGGTAGCTTTGTTCCCCTGGGTTGTAAGCAGGAATATAGATTTATTCACTGTTTTTATCAGAACATCAAGGATCTGGGTGAGCAAGACTGTAAGTCTTTGTTTCTTCTCCATTAGACTACCGTTTGAAAAGTTGGAGCCTGGATGTCAGCTTTCATCTTGACTGAACACATGGCAGCCCCAGGGGTATAGGGTAGAGATGGGGAAAGAAATCCTTGAAGATAATGGAAGACTTCAGTACAAGTCATTCCTCCAGAAGCGTTATGCTTATCCCATGCATTTGACTTCATTTTTTCATCCTGCTTTCAAACTCTGGAGTTCTTCCCATGCCATTGCAAAGCCAAGAACTCAAATAGTTCCCAACTTCGTGCTCTGTGTCAGGCAGCCATACCTGTCAATTTTAAGCTTACTTTAAGATCAGCCTTTGTTGCTGGGGCAAGCTCAGGTTCGCTCTTCACTGGTATGGTTTTTTTCCTTCAGTAGTGGAAAAATTTCCTCATTGAGCAGGACTGGTGTGGTATAAATATGGGGTGTAAGTCCCAGTAAGCCATGGATTGGGCAACTCCACAGTACAGCACAGTGTTCATGCCTGCTGGAAAGCCTTGGCAGCAGTGAAAGAGACCTCTGAGCCCTGTTCCGCTGAATCACAAGAAATGCCCAGGGTTTCTTCCGATGTTCTGCCTCTGTTCTGGAGTCTTAAGTCACACGATGAGACAGGAGGCACCTCTCTTCTTGCACTCGGCTCCAGGAGAGATTTTGCGTCTGTCACCACAGAACACAACGTCTTCCTTTTGTCCTCATAGAGGTGCCAGGAGGGTAGGATCGGGCCAGTGGGAACCCACCTTGCTATTGAGGATGTGTAGGGTTCAGAAGTGCATTAATCATCTAACGATACAAGGCAGCATGTGACCTCTTCCCATTTGAGCACGAGGACCCTGCTCATCACAGATGGCTTGCAGTAAGGTCTGAGCTGAAGGGGGTGGGAAGGTTGTGGGCCAAAGCTCCTGAGGTTCCCTGTGCTGTGCAGGAGCTGGTGCATGCTGTCCCTGTGTGTGCTGTTGCCTCACCACGGCTGTTGGCACTGGCAGCCAGGAGTGGTTTTCCTGCAGCCCTTGTTAAGCAACGAAGAACACGAGACTCGAAAGGGTAAGAAATCCAAGTTCCTGTTGCTATGGGCAGTGTTACCACATAGAAGAATGTCTCCTCCTGTTTCTATCTGAGGGCTGATGAGCCTCTGCACTTACCAGCCTTTCGGCCTGCAATTTTCTTTTTATCTATCTCCTGGCCTCAGCCTGCACTAGGTGACTCGGGAAGCAGCTTATTCAACAGAAACTACAGCTTCTCCACCAGGGCAAGGCCAAGTCCTTCAATATGATTGCTGTGGTGCTTTCCATCTGCTCACTGCCGGCTAAAGTAATTTTGATAATGTATGAGTCATATTGCTGGAAGTAATTGATATTAGTAAGAAGTGGTTACCAAAGCTGTGACCATATCCATGTTTTTTTCTAGTTGACTCTACTTTTGTAGCGTAATCTATTCAATGACCTAGAATAAGGGCATATGCATAATTAGGTGTGCATATAGAAAACATTTGATATTTTGTCTGGAAGCATCATCTTGAAAGCTGTTAGAGAAAATGGGAATTTTTGCAGTGGGTCCCAAAATTGTGAGTGCAGGACTGTACCAGTGACCACAGGGCTATAAATGCAAACAAATGAGAGTTGATCACGGATCAGTGCTACCTGGACATCACACTAGTGTCAGCTTTAGGGCAGTTCTTGAACACGTGTAGGATCGTGTAACAGACTATTGTGGCTGCTCATATTTGATAGCAGGGGTAGAGATGATGTTAGATTCTATATGACAGCAATTTAACCAACTAGTTTGGCAGATGCCTTAATTCATAAATGGGTGAGCAAAATTGACCACTGATGTCTTGTATTGCTATACAGGTTAAGGGTCTTTTTAATTATAATTAAGAAGAAATATATGTATTGCCTGTGTTTTGAT